CAGCAATTCCCAATTCCCCAGATCCCAGCCAGCCCTGCCCTCTGGCAGTGGGAGCCATTCCCTGTGTGCTGTCCCTCCTTGTCCCCAGTCCCTGTGCAGCTCCAGGACGGGCTTGGAGCCCCCTGGGACAGCAGGAGGTGTCCCTGCCCCATCCCATGGGGGCTGGAATGGGGTGGGATTAAAGGCTGGAATAAGGATGGGATTGAAGGCTGGAATAGGGATGGGATTGAAGGCTGGAATAGGGATGGGATTGAAGCCCCCATCCCACCCCAACCATTCCCTGATTCCACACCCGCGCCATCCCCAGCACAGCGGGAACCCGTGGGACCACGCCAGCCCCCCCAGGACCCCCGTACCTGGTAGAGGGACAGGTAGAACACCCTGAGCAGGGCGAACACCAGGCAGTCCCGCATGGCCTCGCAGAGCAGCGCCCCGAAGGCGGCCGCGATGCCCAGCAGGCACAGCAGCTCCATGCCCTGCTCCGTGTCCAGCCCCAGGCGGGGCCCGAGCCACAGCAGCGTGGGCGAGTCCCGCAGCTGCTCCCACAGCCCCTTCCCGCTGAGCCGCAGCACTCGCCGCGCCGGCAGGATCCCCTCGCGCCCGTACAGCCCTGCGAGCACAGCCGGCGGGCGGTGACCCCGGGAAAACAGCCGGATTCCCCAGGAAATCTCGGTATTCCCGCCGTAAGCCCGGTATTTTCACGGAAAAACACTCGGATTCCCCAGGAAATCTCGGTATTCCCGCCGTAAACCCGGTATTTTCACGGAAAAACACTCGGATTCCCCAGGAAATCTCGGTATTCCCGCCGTAAACCCGGTATTTTCACGGAAAAACACTCGGATTCCCCAGGAAATCTCGGTATTCCCGCCGTAAACCCGGTATTTTCACGGAAAAACACTCGGATTCCCCAGGAAATCTCGGTATTCCCGCCGTAAACCCGGTATTTTCACGGAAAAAACCCGTATTCTCCAGTAAACTCCCCCGGTATCCCCGGGGAAAACGTCGGTATTTCTGGGAAAACAACTTGGCATTCCCGAGAAAAACTCCGGTATTCCCGGGACAAACCCCGGCGTTCGCGGGAGAAATCCCGGTATTCCCCGGAAAAATCTCGGTATTCACTGAGAAAAAGTAAAACAGCATATCCGGGAAAAATCTCCGTATTTCCCGGAAACACCTCAGTACCCCCGGAAAAAAACAAACAACGTATTCCCGGGAAAAACTCGGTATTCCCAGAAAAACCCCGGCATCTCCCGGGATAAACCTGGTATTCCCGGAAAAAGACCCCGGCGTTCCGGAGAACAAATCCCCGGCATCTCCCGGCAAATGCAGCCCCCGGGGCAGCAGGACTGGCATCCCGGCTGTCCCGGCCCCCAGCCCGGCGTTCCCGCTGGGAAGAGCCCAGGTGCCACCCGGGAGCTGCCGGGGCCACGTGGAAGGGACGGGAGGTGATGCCGGGGGGTTCCGGGGCACCGGAGCCGCTCCCGGTACCGCCGGTGTTCCCGGGAGGGGAGAAACGAGGGAAACGGGGAGGAGGGAAAATGATAACGGGGATACGGAGAGATGAGCCCGGCAGCGGGACGGGGACGGCGACGGTCCCGGTCCTGGCTCCATTCCTGCTCCACCGCTTCCCTTCCCGACCCTATCCCGGCCCGGCTCTCCCAGCCCCACTCCCGGCTCTGTCCCGGTTCCCCCGGCCCCATTCCCGGTTCTATCCCGGTTCCCCCA